AATTTTTGACAAGGCAAAAAAGAATATCCAATGAGAAAAAGACCATCTCTTCAAAACCAGACAGCAACATGCAAAAGAATGAAACTGGACCACTTTCTTACACCATCCACAAAGATAAAGATGAATTAAAGACCTAATGTGAGACCTGAAAACATAAAAATCCTAGAAGAGAGCCCAGGCAGTAACTTCTCTGACATCAGCCTTGGCAACTTTTCTCTAGATAGGTCCCCTGAGGCAAGGGAAGCAAAAAGCAAAAACAAACTATTGGAACTACATGAAAATAAAAAGCTTTTGCACAGCAGAGGAAACAGTCAATGAAACTAAAAGGCAACCTATGGAACGGGAGAAGATTCTTGCAAATGACATATCTGATAAAGGGTTAGTATTGAAAATATATAAAGAACTTATAAAACTCAACAGCCAAAAAACAATTCAGTTAAAAATGGGCAGGAAACATGAACAGACATTCTCCAAAGAAGACATCCAGATGGCCACCAGACACATGAAAAGATGCTCATCATCACTGATCATCAGGGAAATGCAAATCAAAACTACAATGAGATACTGTCTCACATCTGTTGGAATGGCTAAAATCAACAACACAAGAAACAACAGATGTTGGTGAGAATGTGGGAAAAAAGGAACCCTCTTGCAGAGTTGGTGGGAATGCAAACTTGGTGCAGCCACTGTGGAAAACAGTATGGAGGTTTCCAAAAAGTTAAAAATAGAGCTACCCTATGCTCCAGGAATCACACTGCTAGGTATTTCTCCAAATAATACAAAAACACTAATTCAAAGGGATACATGCACCCTGTGTTTATAGCAGCATTATATACAGTAGCCAAGATATGGAAGCAGCCCAAGTGTCCGTGGATAGATGAATGGATAAAGAAGATGTGGTGTATAGATGCAATGGAAATTTATTTAGCCATAAAAAAGGAAATCTTGCCATTTGCAATGACATTGATGGAGCTAGAGAGTATTATGCTCAGTGAAATAAATCAGTCAGATAATGACAGATACCATATGATTTCACTCATATGTGGAACTTAAGAAACAAAATGAGCAAAGGGAAAAAAACGAGAGAACAAACAGATGGTTACCGGAGGGGAGGTTAAGGGGATGGGTGAAGTAGGTGATAGAAATTAAAGAGTGCACTTGCTATGATGAGCACCAGTGATTAAAATAAAAACTTCTTTAAAAAGTGACATTACTCTTGGGTTGTGTCAAAAAAAAATAGCTACTATATAATGAAGTAACAGAATACTAAGAGATAGTCACGTGAAAAAATGAATATTGAAAGTGTAAGTTAGTATAAGCCACACTACCGATTTTCTAATAAAATTGAGGACATGCCTCGCTTCACTTTTTTATCCATATCCTTCTTCAGAACCATATAAGTTGTCTTAAAAATTATTTTAGGCAGTTTTAACAAACTCTTCCATCTCTCTCCTAAAGCAGTAACGCTATACTATATTTATTAAGGTTGCTCTCCCACTGCAATGGTAATTTTACAAATAGATTGTAAATTCCATGAGAACAGGGGTTATGCCTTATGTTTCATTATTTTTCCCTTGTAGTATTTATCACACAGAATTATGCATAGAAAACAATGTAATCAGTATGGTACATAAAACCTCATTACAGATCAGCAAGTGATTCTGATAATAGGAAACACTAACTCTGAACCCCAGTTAAAGGAAATGTTATTCCCACCAAAAACAATTCCATTCTCTTCATTAGTAGGCTTATACTAAAAAAAACCTGTACTCAATTATGTTTTGAATTTCAATAAAAATTTATGAAAAACTTTTAAAAGAAACGTTTTAGATAAAATTAAACTTTGAAAAAATAATTTCTGGTTCACCTCCTTAAGAAATGTTGATCTTCCTTTGAGTATACTCTGTGACCGTTGTTTGAAAATAAAATATTTGCCACTTAATTGCTCTGCTTTGCCTTGGAAAATAAAAAATAGTTGAAGTGATTCTGTTGGGGACAGATATTATATAATTAAACACAATTGCAGGGCACCTGGGTGGCTCAGTCGGTTAAGCGTCTGCCTTCGGCTCAGGTCATAATCCCAGGGGCCTGGGATTGAGTCCCGCATCGGGCTCCCTGCTCAAAGGGGAGCCTGCTTTTCCCTCTCCCTCTGCCAGACGCTCCCCCTGCCTGTGCTCGCTCTCTCTCTCTCTTTCTCTCACTCTCTGTCCAATAAATAAATAAAATCATAAAAAATAAATAAACACAGTTGCAAAAATACCTGAGCTCTTGACTGAAAAACAATCAATATGTGTTTATCTGGGTCCAGATTTCTTATTCTAAACGTAATGTTTTGCAGGTTTGTTGCACGTAATTCCTGGTAACTTACTCTCAGTAGCCCTTTCTCTATTCCTTTTAATTCCTGCTCCAGGCTTCTTCAATGAAAAGCAACTCTTGGTTGAGACTGACTGGTTTTGCCAAGGCCAAGATCACAGCTTTGCTTATCTTACCACATGTATTGCTTATAGTTTGTCCATTAATTTTCCCGTTAATTGGCTAAATCTCATAGATGGTTTTCCATGCTTTAAAAAAAATCTTTTGGTTTAAAATTTTATTCACTCATCAACCATTTATGGCTTTGCCACTAGATTGTAAGCTAAAAGAACAGGAATTTATGTGTGTTTTTTCACTACCATTTTTCTTAAAAGATTTAAAAAAATTTTTTAAGTATTCTCTTATCCCCAACATGGGGCTCAAATTCACAACCCTGACATCAAGAGTTGCATGCTCTACCGACTGAGCCAGCCAGACTCTGGCCTCCTTTCACCACCATTCTTTCCATAACGCAGAGCTATGCCTGGGACAAAATACGTGATCCAAAATATGTGTGGAATGATTGACTGTCAGTTATCAAAGGCAGCTTTATTCTAGGTGCTGGGACACAATGAGAAGCAAAAATAAACACAATCTGGCCCTCAGGGAGTTTACAGGAAGGAAATTTAACAGAGATCGATCATCAAAACAAATGTCAAATTGTAAATTTTTGACAGTGCTATGAAGCAGAGGGACCAGGTGCCATAAGGTATAGACTAGAAGGATCTTCCCTCTTGGGAGACATGAGGGGAGAGCTCCCTGAAGAAGTGGCCTGAGTTTAGATCAAAGGATGATCATGCAGGAATTAGAGGAAGAGGAGAGGACAGAGAGTTCCATCCTTCTTTATTTCATCTCCGTGTTTTTCCCTCTCAGTGTCCACCCACCACCATGGTATTTATCATTATAGACTCTCCCTGTTTTTTCTGCAACCTTAGTTTGCTAGCTTCTCATGGACTTCTGCATAAATCTCAAGTGTATGTAGGTCTCCTTTTGGGTCAGAACCAAACTTACATTTTTGTTAAAATTGCCAGTAATCACTTTAGAAACTAATGACAAAATATCAAAAAGAAAATGAATTAACAAGGAGAATACCTCTCTTCTACTTATTTACTTTAACTGTTGTATGCTCGAGAAAGTGCCATATGATAAATACTTAATAGATTTGGGTTGGTTAGTCGCTTGGCTGGCTGGCTGAATGGCTGGTTAACTGGTTAGCTGGCTGGCCAGGTGTTGGTTGGCTGCTCAGTGATTGGTAGTTTGGCTGGCTAGCTTGGTAGATACTGGTTGGTTGGCTGGTTGGCCAAATGTCAGTTGAGTGCTGGCTGGCTGACTGGGAGGATGTTAGTTGGTTGGATGACTGGCCAGTTTGTTGATGAGGTGGTTTAGTGAATAATTAGAGTGGTGGTTTAGCTCTGGCTTTCAAGTCAGACTTAATTTTATTCAAATTCTGACTGACCATTCACTGATTATGATCAACGATTTACTTAAGCTCTGTAAGTCTCAGTTCATTCTATAAATTAGTATTTTTTTTTCTCACAGGGTTGTAAGAATAAAAGTGATACTGCATATAAAGTTTTAGCATGGTACGCAGGATATGTTCACCGTTCACTAGGATATGTTCACAATTTTAAAGAAAAGAAAGAAGCTTGAGTGTTGTTCCTAAAGGGAACAAAATTAGTGAAAGGAAGTGATTATTCCGTGTAAATGTTTGTCTCATTTATCATAGCCTTCAAGTATGTTTCACTGCTGCAAATACGTGTCTATTACAGGGTCATAGTACACAAACCTAAGAAGGAGCTGCTACATGTAGGAAGCTCAGAAGCACACAAGCAAATGTTGACAGATTAAAACTTAATTCACCACCCTCCCCCGCTCCCCTTCTTCCTGACTGCCCTATCATCACATGATTGCAGGGCTCATTAGGATAGCAACTTTCTCTATCAAAAAAAAAACTTTTAAAGGAGTGCTAATATATTATTTGACATGAGTGACTGGTTACACAGGTGTTTGCTTTATAATTATTTGCTAAGCTGAACATGTATGTTTTATGTATTTTCCTATAGGCACACCCACACTTAAACATACACAGAGGAGGTGAAATTGGCATGGAAGAATGTGATGGGATAGGATAGTACAGATGAAATAGATAAACCTATGCTAGGTCTATAAAAGCAAAGGAAATTCCTTAAAATTCCATATGGAAAGAAATCTACAAGCAGTAAGCAGTAAACCCTGATTGTGAAAAAGAGAACATGAAATTTATTCCAGCTGCTCCAGACTGGCTATCTCCTTGTCACAAATTAAATGGCTAGAGTGGCAAATTACTAAACTTCTGTGTGTGTGCGCTAGTCTGCATAAATGTAATCTGTGCTGGAGTCACTGCAGGGCAGGATTTTTCCAGGCCATTTGCCACTTGCTTAACATTGGGCATGAAGAGCTCCCCTCGATGACAGCGCTTTAACAGACCTCAATTACTAGATCCACTTTGCACAGATATCACCGCCCCATTTCTTCCAGCCATTGTCCTTAACATTTGTGCCACTTGTGCATTTCAGAGATAGCTGCCCCCGGTTTATTAAATGCCATCAGAAACAAAGTCAAGAATTACACATCTTTATTACTAACAAGCAGCTTTTGGTTTTTTTTAGCGCCGACTGGGAGATGCAGCAAAGAAAGCTATCAGCAAGCTCCAGGTCAGAACCATCAAGAAGGGTGACAAGGTAACAGGAGCCTCTTTTCTTTTTGGTGAGGGACTATTCAAAAAAGTTGATGACTTTTCCAGCAGCCAGGGTAGAAGAGAGGGGAGGAAGGGAGAAGGGGAATACGTGAAGATAGTTCGCCTGGGTCTGGTGTTATACCCATCTGTATTAAATATAATTTAAAACAATTTATAAAATGCATACAGTAGGACAACAAAGTAGTTGGAAAGAAAATGTAAGAGATTGAAAGGTAAGTATAGGAAAAATAGATGAAGCTAGGATAAAATTTGTACATAAGTACATTACCTGAAATGTGTAACAAAAATGGATCCCAAACTTAGGTTGGGGCTTTCTAGCAGCCAATGCAATGGAGGAAGAAATATTCAAACAGTATCTGATTACTTCATCCCAGTCCACAAGGTGAAAACAAAATGGTTGCTCCTAGTATTAACAATTTGAGAAAATTTTTCCATAAATCCTTGCAAGGAGGAAAGTGTTATATGTTGTGTGATGTCCTCCACTGATAATTGCAGTAAATACAGGAAGTATATTCAGTCCCTCTGAAATCTGGCATCTACAACCCCAAAGTCATTACAGCACCTTCCTTTGCTGGAGAATGAGGACTTAAAGCCAAGAGCAAAGCCTATCTTTTTTTTTTAATTCAGGTATAATTAATATAGAGTGTTATATTAGTTTCAAGTGTACAACATAATGACTCAACAATTCTACACATTCCTCCGTACTCATCAAGATAAGTGTATTCCTAATCCCCTTTATCTGTTTCACCCATCCCCCCCACCCGCTTCCCCTCTGGCAAGCACCAGTTTGTTCTCTGTGTTTAAGAGGCTGGGTTTTTTTTGTTTGTTTCCTTTTTTTTTTCTTTTTTCATTTCTTTCTTAAATTCCACATATGAGTGAAATCATATGGTATTTGTCTTTCTCTGACTGGCTTATTTCACTTAGCATTATACTCTGTAGATCCATCCATGCTATTGCAAATGTCAAGATTTCATTGTTTTATGGCTGAGTAATATTCCATTTTTTATATATATATAATAATATATATGTGAATATATATAAAATAATTTCTTTATATGTATATATGCCACATCTTCCTTATCCATTCATCTATCAGTGGACACTTGGGCTGCTTCCCTATCTTGGCTACTGTAAATAATGCTGCTATAACAACATCAGAAGCAGAAGCATATCTTGAGAAGGAACAACTAAGCAATGCAGTCCAAGGCCTGCAGACCTCTAAAGGTCTTTCTTCTCCCCAGAAGAAATATTAGAGCAGTGGATTGCGGTACATGTACTTGGAGCTCCTTGGGGCATTGTAAGGGATTCACAAGTCTACACGTATACCAGGTGTTGTCTCTAGTCCGAATACTTGATTTGTTTCACTATGAGCTGCTGTTTTTCAACTATATAAAAATACTATTGAGTTAACTTAATAAGATGAAATTCATTTAAAAGCATTACTAATTTGGGGCGCCTGGTGGCTCAGTCATTAAGCGTCTGCCTTCGGCTCAGGTCATGATCCTGGGGTCCTGGGTTCGAGCCCCGCATCGGGCTCCCAGCTCAGCGGGAAGCCTGCTTCTCCCTCTCCCACTCCCCCTGCTTGTGTTCCCTCTCTCTCTGTCTCTCTCTCTCTCTCTGTCAAATAAATTTTTTTTAAATCTAAAAAAAAAAAAGCATTACAAATTTAAAGTATATTTTTCATTACTTTTTTCCCCTCAACAGAATATAAAAGAACAGGGACTACCACATAAGGAATATATGTTGGGGTATTGAAAGAGATTGAATAAAAAGTTAAAACCATTGTTCTAGAGTTGTATACATAAGATTCCCAAGGAATTGATAGATTAAGTATCATTCCGACAGTTCTCCATAAATAGTTTTTCTCATCCTTGAGATTTTGATGTCACCTCTTGTTATAATAAATAGCATTCCTAGTAATGGTATATTTAAAAATTGCTTTCTCACAATCATAATAAATATCATTATTAGTAACAATACATTAAAAAATTGTTCCCTCATGAAAACACTTGCAGTGGAACCCAGAAACAAAAAGTGGAGGTTGGATATGAGGAATTCTTAACTGCAGGAAACAAACAGGGTTGCTGGAGTGGAGGGTGGGGTGGGAGGGAGGGGTGACTGGGTGATAGACACTGGGGAGGGTATGTGCTCTGGTAAGCGCTGTGAATTGTGCAAGACTGTTGAATCTCAGATCTGTACCTCTGAAACAAATAATGCAATATATGTTAAGAAAAAAAAAAAGAAGAAGAAGAAAGCCGGAGGGGAAGAATGAAGCGGGGGAAATCGGAGGGGTGGACGAACCATGAGAGAAGATGGACTCTGAAAAACAAACTGAGGGTTCTAGAGGGGAGGGGGGTGGGAGGATGGGTTAGCCTGGTGGTGGGTATTGAGGAGGGCACATTCTGCATGGAGCACTGGGTGTTATGCACGAACAATGAATCATGGAACACTTCATCTAAAACTAATGATGTAATGTATGGGGATTAACATAAGAATAAAAAAAAAAAGTGGAGGTTGGAAGGAATGGAAAATGGGCCCAAATACAGTCAATTATTGATTAAGAAAACTGGCATGTAGACGATTGAAAGCCTTGCTCCAGGCAAGCTTCCTTGCTTGTTTGCGTATTTACACAAGAGTTGAAGCTACACAAGTCAACTCATCTGTACTTTCTCTGTTGCAGGAGACAGAACCCGATTTTGATAACTGTGCAGTTTGCATTGAAGGGTACAAGCCCAATGACGTTGTGCGGATCTTGCCCTGCCGGTGAGTCACTGGGCCGCCTGCTTTTGAATGGGGTGTGTGTGGAGAGTGCCTGCTGGCCTCACTGGCTCAGACCTGCTTGGCCTCTTGGCCTAGCCCTGCAAGGTCAATCTGTCCAAACGTTTCTGGGTTTAGATGGTGAACAATCAAAAAGCTTGCTCTTTTTGTGTAACCTTTCTCCTTGAAAACATGTTTTCTTGTGAAATAAATATTTTTCTGATCTTTTTGTACCAAAGGAAGCATACTGCTATGAACTAGAACCTCATGATATGGAATTTGATGACGTGACTCCAAGTATGAGTTTTCTTTAACAACAGAATTATGATATTCAGATTCAGTTCTTACCTTCACAAGGGCTGTTTTAACTTAATTAATGAACTCATAAAATTATATCATGATTTGGGGCACCTGGGTGGTTCAGTGGGTTAAACGTCTGACTCTTAATTTTGGCTCAGGTCATGATCTCTGGTGTGAGATCGAGCCCCAAGTTGGGCTCCATGCTGGGGATGTGGAATCTGCTTAAGATTCTTTCTCTTCTGGGGTGCCTGGGTGGCTCAGTCGTTAAGCGTCTGCCTTCGGCTCGGGTCATGATCCCAGGTCCTGGGATCGAGCCCCACATCAGGCTCCCTGCTCAGCTGGAAGCCTGCTTCTCCCTCTCTCACACCCCCTGCTTGTGTTCCCTCTTTCGCTGTGTCTCTGTCAAATAAATAAATAAAATCTTAAAAAAAAAAAATTATTTCTCTCCCTCTCCCTCTGCCCCTCCACCCCCCTCTCTCCCTCTCTCTCTCTAAAAGAAAAAAATGATATGTTGTGAATAATCATGAAGAGATCAACAGCCAGAATATGGTCAGGAGTGAATGGGAAGCCAAAAGCAAATTCCATTTCCTTTGGGTTTTTGGGGGGGGGCGGTGTTGTTATTTTTTTATCAGCAGGAAGGAAATCTGACAGTCACCCCAAAATTTCTAGAATCTAGGGGAGGATGCCAACATGTGTAGTTGGAAACACTTCCCAAGTGATATTCATATAACCCTAACCTTTCTCCCTAATTGAAATTTACCATTAAGGTATTTGAGTTTTTTAATATAGTTAAAATTAAATAAGTTTAAATACTTCAATAAAATCAGATATTTTAAAGTTGCATAAAAGTTGTCTTCCTATAATTGAAAACCTCTTTTTTTAGTGTTGTTGTATCTGTGAAGTATCCTAAAAATAAAAAATTATCCCTTGAAGAAAGGTTCTTCAATCAGAAAGATGAGCTTTAAAAATTCTTTTTTTTTTTTTTTAAAGATTTTATTTATTTATTTGAGACAGAGAGAATGAGAGAGACAGAGAGCACATGAGAGGGGATAGGGTCAGAAGACGAAGCAAACTCCCGGCCGAGCAGGGAGCCCGATGCGGGACTCGATCCAGGGACTCCAGGATAATGACCCGAGCCGAAGGCAGTCGCTTAACCAACTGAGCCACCCAGGCGCCCAAGCTTTAAAAATTCTTAAGGGGCACCTGGGTGGCTCAGTTGGTTAAGCACCCAACGCTTGGTTTTGGTTCAGGTCTGATCTCAGGGTCGGGCTCCACGCTCAGCATGGTTTCTGCTTAGGTTTCTCTCTCCCTCTCCCTCGGCCCCTCCCTCCCTAAAATAAAGAAAGAAAATCTTTTAAAAAATTCCCAAGAGTACTTAATAAAGTAGATAAAATACACAAAGATATAAAGCAATGCACCTTTAAGAACTATTTCTTAAAAATAAGAAAGAAATAAAATATGCCTGTAGAGGAATTAGTTTAATAAACCCAAAATGACAAAGAAGTGTCAAAAAAGGACAGGATACGTGAATAGATGCAGAAACTCCCAAGGGGGATGGATCTTTCTTGAAATGCTTTTAGGCAAATTGATCATCAGGAAACAGCCCTGGGGAAAGTGCACTGTGCTGGCCCCAGCCAAAGCCTTCAACTGAGATTCACTTTCCTTAGGTTCTAGATGCTTGACTAGCTCTAAGACAAAATCATAAATTGGGACACATCAAGACTTGGTGGTTTTCTTCCTATGAGGGAATATATAAATTATTATTTCATTACACTTGGTATTTACTTGGTGACTTCTAGAAACCTGGCAAAGAATCACGGGCAGTGTGTGAGCCACAGAGAGCCTCTCAGGGTAGCGTCTATTATCTCTGCAATATTTTACTAAGGGTTTTATTAACCCTCATAGTTAAAAGCAAGGAACCTGCTTTCCTAGAGACTGTTTAGAGCCCTGTGAGGGTACTACTAATAAAAAATATCCAAAGCAAATTTAAGTTGAATTGCAACTTTTTCCTGAGAATCTAAACGTAATTAAGAAAATCTGTTTTTACAAATAATGCAATATATGTTAAGAAAAAAAAGAAGAAGAAGAAGATAGCAGGAGGGGAAGAATGAAGCGGGGGAAATCGGGAGGGGTAGACGAACCATGAGAGACGATGGACTCTGAAAAACAAACTGAGGGTTCTAGAGGGGAGGGGGGTGGGAGGATGGGTTAGCCTGGTGGTGGGTATTGAGGAGGGCACGTTCTGCATGGAGCACTGGGTGTTATGCACAAACAATGAATCATGGAACACTTCATCTAAAACTAATGATGTAATGTATGGGGATTAACATAAGAATAAAAAAAAAAGTAAATAAATAAGTAAATAAAAGTAATAAAATCACCAAAAAAAAAAAAAGAAAATCTGTTTTTAAAACTATATATAGCATTACTTTAGCTCCGTAATCCATACTGTATAAAATAACTTATTCATTTGGAGCTCTGTCATGCATCTATTCCACGTTACTGCATTGAATTACTAGAAGCTGCATAATATCCAAGCAATAGATGTGCCACAATTCAAGTTACCATGCCTCTGTTGTGCAACATTTGGCTGGTTTCAGTTCTTAATTATGACAAATTACATTGCTTTAGCAGTGTTTAGATTGTCATGATGTATTTTTCCAGAACTCTTACAATATAATTTTTGGAAATATTAACCAAGGAAATAGTTTTTTAATATTAAAAACAACAACTTCAGGAACTTTAATTTTATTTATACTATAGCCCTTGCCCTAGGCCAGTTCAGTGTGGCCTAAAACTCTTCCCTTTTTACATTATTATTTGGTTCTCGGCTCATTTCTTGATACTTTTTGCTTCAAGCTTCTTGCTGTCCATCTGCTTTTATTTCCTTATTGTAGGCCCGGCTTTAAATAACAAAATACATTGAGAATTACCAAGCACAACTTAGAGTTATTTCTTATTTGATCTTAGATGAGCCATATCTATACTTACTCTTTGAAGAGCTCATCCATTTTTTTTCCATGCTGACTTTAAAATCGAGATATTTTGATGCCTGTTGCTTGTTTCTTCCAGACAGTTTGCACTAATGGATGTTATCAAACAAATGCACTGGCAGTTGCTTTTTGCTACGTAATTTCTTCTGGGGTATTATTAAGCCCTGGCTCCTATGAACTTTGTAGACTGTCTTTCTCATTATTTCCAGGCTGACTCACCCACAGAATTTTTTGCATCTCCTTGGAGTAGAAACCATTTCAAAAAAAATGATCCCGTTTTTGTCTTCCTTCTTTTATACTCTTTTCTGTGGCCTCCTAACTCCTCACCCGCTGGGTGTATCACTTCTCTATTGTGGCCACTTCGGGTGTCTTTCCAAATCGCTTCAGGATATTCTTGTACCGTGATTTTTTTCAGAATCATTCTCTTGTTTGCCTCTTTTAGAAACCATTGCACAAATTAGGATGAATTGATAAATGATTTCCCCTCTTCCTTTGTCATCATGGCGATTACTAAAGTTAAGTCATGCTCATACACACTTACCGTTTCCCCCTTGCTCTGTCTCCCCCAGGGGCCTTCTCCAGCGCAGGCCAGGGAGGCTCCCCACGCGTGGGACCAGCTGGGCATGCGCGGCCGCAGCAGTACGCAAAGCACCTCAGGGTCAGACAGCTCTAACTTTTGTGGTTTGGGTTTGATCCTAATACTCCACTGGGTTATTTTCCAAAGAACTTTGGTTTTTGCTGAGAGCATATATATGTCGAAATCTACATGATATGTATTTTAGGGCTGGTTTTGTGAGTCAAGTTTATACTTGCAATTATCATTTTTAGCTACAGAAGATATTTTACTGAAGCATATAATTGAAATTGTATCGTCTTCCCTTGTCTAGAGAGTAAGTTGAGCTCTCAGATTTTTCCAGAGCTTTTTTTTTTTTAAAAGATTTTATTTATTTATTTGACAGAGAGAGACACAGCGAGAGAGGGAACACAAGCAGGGGGAGTGGGAGAGGGAGAAGCAGGCTCCCCGCTGAGCAGGGAGCCCGATGCGGGACTCGATCCCAGGACCCTGGGATCATGACCTGAGCCGAAGGCAGACGCTTAACGACTGAGCCACCCAGGCACCCCTTTTCCAGAGCTTTTATCCTATGGTGATTCTACTGTTCTTCAGTGGTTACTCATTTCAGTCTATTTACCTACCCAGTTTCAAACACTCCTGCTCAGAAAGAATATGCCCTCCTTGGGCAGGGCAAAAGTCTTTGTTTGCCATTTAATAAAAAAAGGCAATGTATGCATCCATACCCTAGGTGCCTGTAAAATTCTTTCCTTTCTCGGACTGATCCCTACAGCATTATCGCTAATTTAGGAGGATATTAGTTTCTACTACTGTCTTTTCCTTTGACTTTGGGAACTCTTTTATGATGTAGGAAGAATTTTAAATCTCCTTGGTAACAAGCAGACCCTTGTCATAAACGTTTTACTAACTAAATGCTTCATTTGCAACAACAAACATTTATTTTGTAGCAACTGTGTGCCAGGAATAGTAAGAAGTACCAGAGTTGAAAAGATAAATGGCCTGATCCCTGCTCTAAAGGCAATCAGTCTGGTGTGGGAGAGAGATGGGAATTTAAATAAGTAATCACAACACAGAGTGAGATGTGCAACAACAGAAAATGGATTTTTAAAAACTGGAGGAAGCGATACCAGGCACAAGAAAGG